CGGGGCACCAGCTCGGTGCAGGGCGCGGAGCCGTTTTGCAGCGGGTACAGCACGAAGGGCGAGTTGTCGTTGGCGTCCAGCACCAGCACGCGCACTAGCGCCTCGCTGCTTAGCGCCGGCGAGCCGCGGTCTGTGGCGCCCACGCGGAACTCGAACGCCTGCAGGGCCTCGTAGTCCAGCGACCTGAGGGCAAACAGGTGGCCGTTGTCCGCGTTGATAGAGACCAGGGAGGCGAGGGGCAGGTGCGGGTCCTGGGGTGGCAGCAGCGAGTAGGTGACCAGGGCGTTGGTGCCTGAGTCTCTGTCTGTGGCGCTGACACTGCCGATGTGCAGGGCGGGGCTGTTGTTCTCGCGGACGAACAGGGTGTAGGAGGTTTGGGTGAAGGCGGGGGCGTTGTCATTGACGTCGGAGACCAGCACGGTTATGTTGTACTTGGTTTTCAGCCTGGGTGTCCCCAAATCAGTGACGGTGATGGTGATGTTGTACTCGGATCTGGTCTCTCTGTCCAGTGCGCCTTCTGACATGAGGGTGTAAAAATTCTCTACGGATGGTTTCAGGATGAAAGGGAGATTGTTCTCAATGGAACACACCACTCTTCCGTTGTCTCCAGAGTCTAGATCAGAAACACTGAAAACAGCCAGTACAATCTCTGCCGAGTTCTCAGGGATAGGGCTGTTTACTGAAGACAAGGTCAGTTCCGGTGGGTTGTCGTTGACATCAACCACCTGGACTATGACTGTAGACTTTCCGGATAGGCCTCCGCCATCCTTCGCCTCGATGTCGACTTCATAACTATTAATAGCTTCAAAATTCAAATATTTGACTAGTTGCATATCACCAGTAATTGGATTTAGCTGAAAAGTTTTGCGAATTTCTTCAGAAGCATGAAAAAATGCATATGATATTGTCCCAAAACTTCCTGTATCTAAATCAGAAGCCGAGACTGTGACAATGACAGAGTTAACGGGGGTATTCTCTAGAACTGCAACCTCATAGAGTGGCTGTGCAAATTCTGGTGCATTGTCGTTTATATCTAAGACCTGGATGTTTATCTGGGCTGTCCCAGACCGAGGGGGAGCGCCGCCGTCCAGCGCAGTGAGCGTTAAGCTGAGCTCCGGCTGCTCCTCACGATCCAGCGCTTTATCCAGTACTAGTTCCGGGTACTTCCTTCCGTCCCTACGACTGCGAGTGAGTACGTGGAAGTGGGAATTCGGAGTGATAGTGTAGTTTTGGAGGCTGTTTCTTCCCACATCCAAGTCCTCAGCATTTCCCAAAGGAATTACTGCTCCTGGTAGAGTGCTTTCTAGGATTTTCAGATGCATTTCATTTTCAAAGAATACCGGAGAATGGTCATTTACATCTATGATATGGAGCTCGTTTGTAACAAACTGCAAAGGGTTTTGCAGTAATATCTGAAAATGCAGTATGCATGGTTCTGTGGGGCCGCATAGCTCCTCCCGGTCCAATTTCTCATTCAGAAGCAAATCACCTGTCTGATGACTGAGCTGAAAATGCTGTTTGTTCCCTTTGGACACAACTTGGGCCCCCCTCGCGGCCAGTTCCTCTACCCTTAGCCCCAGATCCTTTGCTAGGTTGGCTATTAAAAAGCCCTTCTCTTTTTCCTCAGCCACAGAATAGCGTCTTGACTCGGACCCAGCCAGAGACCCTCCCAGAAAAACAAAGAGAAGCAGGACTTGCCTTTGTCTAAGAAATCGCTCTCCTCCCGCCTCCATTGCACTTTCCGTCACGCTTTGCTAGGGAATGTCTCCAAGTTGAACCTCAGACAGCGCTGGGAAACAGTCTTTTGCCCCACAACCTTTGCAGACGGCCTAGTCAATAAGCCTTTCCAGAGGCTCAGACTTGCTGACTCAAAAATCTGCCTCGGCTCACAACCCCTGGTTTACCACACTGGATCCGTGCGTCACCGAGCATGCACAATGCCCGTGGTTTAATTCGCCTTCTTAGTCAACAGCGCCACCATGCGTTCGCTTGCAGTTTCAAAATCTTGGAGAAGGTGTTTTTGTTTTGCTTTATCGTTTATTCTTATCAACCCTGGTTGACGCTACTGGAGGAGTTTCTCATGTTATATGAATTAAATAAATGCAATCTAGGGAAATAAAATGCGCTCTTATCTAAGAGCAGCGATTCTTCCTGGTAGAGTCCTCATTTACATGATTTAGCGGAAGTGTACAGACACTAGCTTACCCCTCCCCTTCTGTAATAATTACACACAAACTTCAAAAGATTTTTCCTCTAGATGATAGCATGCTTTACTATCCTATTTATGTTTTTCTTTTTTTTTCTAAACTTTGTGAAATGAGTCCGAATTGCCTATACCAGAAAAATAAAAGGAAAAGACACCTCCTGCAAGGTGGTAAAAAGGAAAATATATCATGTCAGAGGTGGATCCGGAGGGCTACAAATGCCTAATTTCTTCCACATTATCACGCTCAAGGAACACTTAAAGTGCTTTCTCTTCTTATTTCAGAGCAAATTTGCAATTATTCATTTCATCTGTATTAGCTTGTTTCCACAGATAATTGTTGAGTTTGTAGAAGTTAGGCAAGTGGTGGTAACAAGACAATGTCTGTATATCTTACAACAATTTTCCATCTAGTGGGTGTACAGTCTTTAAACAGATGTTTAAACAGTGTGAAAAGTGCTACATAGAAAAGGTACTGAGTGCACTGAAAGTATGCAATACGGGGACCTACGTTAATGGAGAGTGATTAAGAAAGTTTCCCCCAAGGTGCACCATTTAATCTGAAACATGAAATAGGAGAAGTGTGCCAAGCTAAAACTGTAGAATGTGTGAAGGCCCTGAGAGAGTGAAGCATAGCTATTAAGAGATAATGAATGAAGGACAGTGAATACAAAACATAATGTCTCAAGAGTAAGTGGAAAGGAAGGCTGAAAAGGTAAACCAAGGCCAAATAATGGGTGCTTGCATTTTATTCTGAGAACAAAAGGAAGCCATTGCAAGGTTGTTGGTAGAGAAATAAAACAATGCAAATATGTGTTCAATGTAGCCTCTTTTGTACTTCTACACAATTATCAAGAAAGTTTGCTCTTAATACTAGTGATACTAAAAATAATAGCAATTTCATTTTTATGTCTTTATATTGAGTATAACTGCAAGCTATTCAAATACCTGTTATCATTTGGGGTAGAAGAAGAGAAACTTTGTGACTTATCCAAAATCTTACAGGTAATGAGTTGGTTGATCAGAGACTTTTGATACCAACACAGCGCTCTACCCCACTGCTAATCTCAAAACAAGACCTTCAAAGTTAATATTACAATTTTAATAGGAAAGCTCATTCAAATGTATGTAAAAATCATATAAAAATGTAAAGATAGACTGAGTAACATTAATAATTAAGATTTGTTTTAATGTATGGATGAGAAAGTAAACTGCAAGAAATGAAAACAGTTGGGTTAGTCATTTAGGGAACTATGGAAGGAAATTTAAGTAACAAAATTAAAAACCACAATTTCATCTGTATTTCTTAAGCCAGTGGACAGGAGAGGAGGCTCAATTTAAGCATTAAGAGAAAAAGGAAAAATACGTTGAAGGAAAGCAACAACAGAATGATAACTGCATGTTTGAACAATGGTGATCAATTCAATTAATAAAAAAATTGTAATTCATTGTACACCGAAGAGTATTTGGTTCCAGCAAAATGTTTTCCTTTAAGTGTTTTAGTTTATTTAAATATCAATATATCACAGGTAAAATACTTTTCTCTCTTTCAATCATTCAAAAATTTTATTAAGAACCTATAATGTTCCAGTGACTGTGTGAATCATGCAATAAATGAGGGAGCTGTTGAGAAACAGAACTCAAGCACCTTTATAAAAAAGCATTGAGAAGTCTAGGGAAATGAAAGGGGGAAAAATAGAAGTAGCCAGTGGAAAAAAAGAGAGTGAGTGGTGTTAGATACATTTTTCTCCCAAAAGGTTTATTTCTAAGTGAATCCTAAATGCTCCAGAAAATGTTAAAAACAGCAATACCAAGCTATATTTGAGGTTTCTAAAGGTCAAGGACAAAGACATGTACTCCCTCATATTTTTTGGATTTTAATGAAGTGCTCAATGTTAATAGGTTATTAATAATTTTAAAAGATTTTAAAGGGGGGGGACTGGAATAAGCAGAGGGCTCTTAAAAAGCTATTTGAAAGCGAAAGCATGATGAATTAGCATGACTTTGAAAACTGCTAGACGTGTATTATTTATCTACATTTTAGAATATTAATGATTGATTTTTGACAAAAATTTATTAGAGCACTTACGATGTTAATGCCTTGTAGAATACAACAGTTAGAATTCTTACAATCTCTAAAGATTAATACTTTTTATATGTCAATATTTTAAGAAGTATATATATTGGGCCTGGGGGCGGTGGCTCAGGCCCTTAATCCAGCACTTTGGAAGGCTGAAGTGGGCAGATCACCTGAGGTCAGGAGTTCAAGACCAGCCTGACCAACATGGAGAAACCCTGTCTCTACTACAAATACAAAATTAGCCGGGCATAATGACTCATGCCTGTAATCCCAGCTACTTGGGAGGCTGAGGCAGGAGAATAGCTTGAACCTGGGAGGCAGAGGTTGCGGCAAGCCAAGATTGCACCACTGCACTCCACTCCAGCCTGGGCAACAAGAGCAAAACTCCATCTCAAAGAAAAAAAAAAGTACATATATTGAAAAATGTAAGGACGGCGCTTGCTATATTATTCATAAATATACCTATTTAAAGGGTTAGCCAATGTGAATTCACAGGATAGAATTTACACTAGCCTAAGAGGATATAACAAACACAAATATTCTGGGCTGGAAAATATAACTCATGTAATGATAACAAATATTTTCAAATGTAGGACTTCAAAATTATCTAGGACCACGGACTGTGAGGTCTGGAAAAGATGCTCTAACTTAAAGATTTCTGAAAATACAAAATTTACACTTTAAATGCAATTAAATTGCAATGAAACTAACCAACAATTAGAATACAAAGAAAATTTACATTCATTATACCGCAAAAACTCATACGTTATAAATACCAGTAACATGCATAGAATTGGAATAAGATAGTTACGTTCTAATAAAAGGAGACACCTCCAATGGGCAAAGCAGTGAAAAAGGACTTTCCACAAATTAAATGAGACTAGCATCAGTAGATCCTTATTAACACTTAACTGAATTCAAAGCTTTTCCTGAAACTGGGATTTGCCTCGTTAACCCTCTCTGCACCCTGAGCAACGAAGTTGGGGATAATTGGCTTCAGGAACTTGAACTCATTTGTCCCAGAGCCTCCAGTCAGACACACCTCGTACTGGTAGCTCTGGGACAGGGTCTCGGTGCCGCTCACGTCCACCAGATGCCCTGGAAAGGGACCCTCGGGCACCGAGCAGCGACCCACAGAGGCCGCCCTGCTCCTACTGCACAGCCGCACCGCCACGAACAGGAGCACCGACAAGAGGAAGAGCGACGACACCGAGGCTAACGCCACCACCAGGTAGACCGTGAGAGAGTCGGCCTGGGCCTGGGCCGGGGCCGCCTCCGGGAGCGGCAGGTAGGGCTGGGAGAAGCCGTCCACCAGGAGCAGGTGTAGCGTGGCGGTGGCCGAGCGCGGAGGCTCGCCATTGTCCTTGACCAGCACCACCAGCCTGTGCTTGGCCGCGTCGCGCTCGCTCAGCAGCCTGGTGGTGCGCACCTCGCCATTGTGCGCCCACACGCCGAACAGCCCGGGCTCCGTGGCCTTGAGCAGCTGGTACGACAGCCAGGCGTTCTGGCCCGAGTCGCCGTCCACCGCCACCACCTTGGTCACCAGGTAGCCCGGCTCGGCCGCCCGGGGCACCAGCTCGGTGCAGGGCGCGGAGCCGTTCTGCAGAGGGTACAGCACGGAGGGCGAGTTGTCGTTGGCGTCCAGCACCAGCACGCGCACCAGCGCCTCGCTGCTCAGCTCCGGCGAGCCGCGGTCTGTGGCGCCCACGCGGAACTCGAACGCCTGCAGGGCCTCGTAGTCCAGCGACCTGAGGGCGAACAGGTGGCCGTTATCTGCGTTGATGGAGACCAGGGAGGCGAGGGGCAGGTGCGGGTCCTGGGGTGGCAGCAGCGAATAGGTGACCTGGGCGTTGGTGCCTGAGTCTCTGTCTGTGGCGCTGACACTGCCGATGTGCAGGGCGGGGCTGTTGTTCTCGCGGACGAACAGGGTGTAGGAGGTTTGGGTGAAGGCGGGGGCGTTGTCATTGACGTCGGAGACCAGCACGGTTATGTTGTGCTCGATTTTCAGCCTGGGTGTCCCCAAGTCAGTGACGGTGATGGTGATGTTGTATTCGGATCTGGTCTCCCGGTCCAGGGCTGTGCTTATCACCAGAGTGTAAAAGTTCTCAACAGAAGGTTTCAAGAAAAAAGGAAGATCATCTTGGATGGAGCATACTGTCTTTCCGTTGTCTCCGGAGTCAGGATCTGAAACACTGAATACAGCAATGAGGGTGTCCTGCAAGTTTTCTGGGATCTGATTGATAAGTGTCGACATAGTCAGTTCCGGAGGATTGTCATTCAAATCCATTACTTGGACAAATACCACACAAGTTCCAGATAGGCCCCCACCATCTGTCGCCTGAATATTTACTGTGTACGTCTGGATGGATTCGAAATCCAGTGTCTGTCTTAAAAGGAGTTCTCCCGATTTTGCACTTAATCGAAACGTTTTGCGAATGTCTTCAGAGGCTTGGGAAAATGCATAAGATATTTCTCCATTAGTTCCAATGTCTAAATCCCTGGCAGAGACGATGGCAACCTGGGATCCAATAGGGCTGTCCTCCGGGATCTGCACCTCATAGAGCAGCTTTGCAAACTCTGGGACGTTGTCATTGATGTCCATAACTTCAATCCGTACCAGGGCCGTGCCGGACCTGGGTGGAGTCCCGCCATCTAGCGCTGTGAGGGTTAACCTGATCTCAGGCTGCTCCTCGCGATCCAGGGCTCTGTTCAGCACCAGCTGTGGTAATATTATGCCATCGAGACTGTCTTGTAAATTAAGATGGAAGTGGAAATTGGGACTGATTGTGTAATTTTGGAGACTGTTGGTTCCTACATCCAAGTCCTGGGCACGTTCTATTAAGAAAGTAGTTCCAGGAGTGATACTTTCTGGAATTTTCAACAGTATTTCTTTGTCTAGGAAAACTGGAGAATGATCATTTATGTCCCTAATCCGTAGCTCCGCCTGAAAAAACTGCAAGGGATTTTCTAGTAACACCTGGAAAGGTAAGACACAGGGCTCTGTGGGGCCGCACAGCTCCTCCCGGTCCAATTTCTCATTTAAGAACAAATCCCCGGTCTGCTTATCGAATTGCAAAAGGATTTTTTTTCCTTTAGAAACGACCCTGGCCCCCCTCACAGCAAGTTCTCCTATCTCCAGCCCCAGGTCTTTTAACAAATTGGCCACAAAGGAGCCACTCTCCGTTTCCTCGGCCACTGAGTAGTGCCTAGGCTGGGAACTAGCCTGAGCTATGCCCAGCAAAACAAAGAATATCAGGACTTGCCTTTGTTTAGGAACGCGCTCCTTCCCTTCTCCGGCCTCCATTGCCTTCTGGTCTCACACCAAACCTGCTCCAGCTCGGGCTCACGTTGTCGCTGACTCTATCTCCCCGTATCTCGCTGATACTGGGATGAGTGGACAATCCTAGGGCCCGGATTTCCCGAAGCGACCGCCTTAGAAAGCCTCCTCTTCCTGCTTGCTGCTGCTTTAGTCGAGTATCTGGGTGAAGGAGCGTCGGCTGGGTGCTTTGTTTCTGCTACTTCTAAGGCTGCAGCGCCACCCCGCGTCTCTTCCGAGTATTTATTTTCTCCTAAACTTTAAGAAAATCCCAGTGCTTTCTTTCAGGCTGATGGCAGTAGAAATTGAGTATTTTCAAGTAGTGTCTCTCAATATACCGAAGTCTTATTGGCGTTTCGAAAGGCTCTTCATTGCACCCACAGAGACATGGCAAGAATAAATAAATCTTCACTTCAGTTCCCTCACAGATCCAAGCGTTTTTTGTTTTTTTTTTTCAAACTGGAAAAAATAAATTTCAGAACCTGGAAGGGAGTGATCTTAGTCCTAGCATGCTTCAGAAAAAAGGCTTAGACTAAGAAAGTTCTATTTTTATTCAGAGTTTGGGCATGTGTGCAACTCAGTGGTGGTTAGGTTACCATCATCACACTCAAACCCAACCGAAAAACACAGAGACCCAGGAAAAGCACAGAATCCAAATAAGAGTATTTTAAGGGGCACTGAAATAGTCTCCTTACTCATACTTCTTTCTTTGCACTGCTCCCGCTTCACATTTCCCTGAACTTTGATGTGTCTGAGCCTCATGAAACTCTCCAAGAGCAGCCAGATATCTTCTTCTTGTAAATGTATCAATATTATTTTCCTTTCTAATGCCTAGAACTTTCAACATAACCTCAATTCAATTACCACATCTAGTAAAGTTAAGAGCAATTTCATAATATTAAATAGCCAGTAAATATTCCAGTTTCCCCAATTATCTTTAAAAATGTATTTCCAGTGATGGTTTCTTCCATCTGCTTCCAAACAAGGTATGTATGTCGTTGTTTGTTGTTAGGTTTTTTTAATTTTCTGTCTCTTTGGGGTTTTTTTAATGTTAATATAAAGAAATAAGTTATCAAGCCACAGAATGACACGAAGGAAACTTAAATGCATATTTCTCAGTGAAAGAATCCAGTCTGAAAAGGAAATGATACTGTATAATTCCAGTTACATGATACTCTGAAAAAGGCCAAATTATAGAGACACTTAAAAGATCAGTGGGTAGCTAGGAAGAAGAGGGAGGGGGAATGAAGAAGTTAACACTGGGGACTTTACAATACTATAATGGTAGATACATGACATTATACAGTTGTCAAAATCCACAGAACTATACAACACAAAGAGTGAACACTAAACTATGGAATTTAGTTAATAATTTACCAGTATTGGCTCATCAATTGTAACAAATGTACCACAGTAATGCAAGATTTTGATAACAGGGAAACTTTGAGTGGGAGAAAATCGGTATGTGAGGGGAACTATTTGTACTGTTTGCTCAATTTTCTGTAAAACCTAAGGCTGCTTTAAAAAAATAATTTTACTTTGGGAAGCCGAGGCTGGCAGATCACAAGGTCAAGAGATCAAAACCATCCTGGCTAACCTGGTGAAACCCCATCTCTACCAAAAATACAAAAAACACTTAGCCAGGCGTGGTGATGGGTGCCTGTAATCCCAGCTACTTGGGAGGCTGAGGCAGGAGAAGCATTTGAACCCGGGAGGCGGAGGTTGCAGTGAGCCAAGATCATGCCATTACACTCCATGCCTGGTGACAAAGTGAGACTCTGTTTCAAAATAATAATAATAATAATAATGATAATAATAAATATTAGGATGTGTCTCTAAAAGATCCATTGGGTTAAAAAATTGGGGGATGAAGAAAAAAATTAAATGTATAGAAAAGTTGAAACAACTATACACAAACTACAACTCTAACCTCCATCCAAATTAACAATTATTTGTTTTACCATATTTATTCTATCTTATTCTGCACACACATCTGCTTTTCTGCTGACTCATATGAAAGTAACTTGCAGACATCATATTTCACCTCTAAATATTTCAGCACGTATCACATAATTACAATATTATCTCATATAATCATAATGCTACTATCATACTTAAGAAAATTTGAAAAAATTCTACAATGTTATCTAAAATCCACTCCCAATCAAATTTCACTGTCTTTCCATTATCTTTTCCTCAATTTTGATAAGAATTCACATTCACTCAAGTTCCTTTGACAAATGCACTTACTTTTTTTAACTATTTGTTATAAGGAATGTCTTAGAAACTTTTTCAACCAGCTTTGATAATGGTATTTGGGTGTTAGATCTATTTACTCTAGAATAGTCTCCCATCTTTAATGACATTAAATTTCTGAAGTGTCCAGACTAGTTGTTTTGTAGGATGTCCTACATTCTGAATCTGATTGTTTCTTCATGGTATCATTTAACCTGTTCTTCTATCCCCTGTATTTTCAGAAAACTGGACTGGATTATTTATTAAATGTAACAATAGCGTAATATTTTAAAAAGCTCTCATTTATCCTCTGTAACTGCCAAAAAAAGGATAATCACAGTTTCCCTTTCTTAACATTTAGAAAACATGCCTATCTCTACCTGTTATTTTTTGCTTTTCATGACTATTACTTTTATATGGATGTTATAATAATTCAAAATATTTTAATTCATTGACATTGAGCATTAAACAAATTCATTGAGGTGAATAATATCCAAGGCCCAAGTTTTTAAAAACAGCTTTTTATATAAGCTGCAAAACCTAATTAGGGTCCAAAATAGATGTCATGAAGATCAGTTATATCATACAGGCAGGTTATAACTGGAAGGTTACTTGAAATTTTACATTTAACCAGGTATATGGCTATTTCCTTTGGACAGGTTTTCTGAACTAAATCAGTTGTAGTTAATTTGAGATAAGATAAAGGAGAGGAAAATAGGTAATATGAAGAAAATAACATAATCTTGCTCCTCTCACAAGCGGGAGAATAGAAAACTTAATATCTAAGATACATCAGAGGATACAATAACCAAGAACACATTAGGTTTTATTGTGAAAAAAATTTTAAAACCTCTCATGTTGTCATGTGTCCTCACAATTCAGAAGGTTTTACCCATCTTTCATTTCAATGCTATTAACATACCTAGAAATAAAAGTAAGTTTCTCTTTTTCAAAAATGATATAACCAACACCAATATTTTATATTTGTATATGGGTTTCTAGCTTTAAATGCATTATATCTGCTATGCTATTTTAAATCATTTATTTTCTTAAACCTTGATGAGAATACACCTTCCTTCTTTACAAACGCTCTTATTTTCTTAATCTCCTTCAATAAGGAATCGTATATATTAGATTAGAATTTATAGCATATTTATAAGTCTAAATGAAATATGTTTACACATAGTAAATTTATTGTAATGAGGGAATCTATTACATAATTTAAAAATTATGTTATTACAATAGGTTTAATTTCTTAGGTTTGGCTTTACTTTTCATATGCTGCACAAGCACAGCCATTATCCTAGGAGTCACTTTCATAATTTTGAAGATTCGTTTCAATAAAATCTAACTATTAAAATATTACACAAATAATTTTATATACAGGAATAGAAAAATATTTTCAAAAACACTAAAAAATGAAAGCAAGTCATTACAGTCTTATTACAAAAGTACAGCCATTCAAAAAATAAATAAGAACACATTGTTCGAGTATCTGTCATAATTAAGCCTCTCTTTTTGGGACGAAAGGGTGATTTGATTTTTTGACTGCCATGAGATAAAAATTACAAGAATTAAGAGAAAGGGTAGTCAAAGGGATTTACATGACCATTTTCCTATCAAAGATAATACCAAATGATAGGGAAATATTATCCCCACTAGTATCCCTCTTTAAATAGAGAGGGATCTTCAGCTTTTCAATGCCTTCTGCCCATAAGCTGGCTTTACTTAGCCATAAGATGGCAGAAGAAGGAGGTGTTCTCAGTGATCTAACACTAAGACTCTGCAGAAAATATGAGAGAAATATTCTAGGATGAGAAGGGAGTATTCTGGCATAGTTTATTACCCTAATCTAGGGGGAAAATTGGGGGCATATTCGACTAATTTACTTTTGCCTTACTGAGGATACAAGTAAGTTTTCCCATAATCTATCAAGACATACATTTCATGAAGCTCAAGCAAACAGGATTTCAAAATAAAGGTCGGCTAGACTTCGTGGCTCACACCTGTAATCCCAGCACTTTGGGAGTCCAAGATGGGTGGACTGCTTGAGTCCAGGAGTTAGAGACCAGCCTGGGCAATGTAGCAAAACTCCATGTCTACCAAAAAAAAAAATCAGCCAGGTGTGGTGGCTCACGCCCATAGTCTCAGCTACTTGGGGGGCTAGGGTGGTAACATCAGTTGAGCCCTGGAGGCAGAGGTTGCAGTAAGCCGAGATCACACCACTGAACTCCATCCAGCCTGGGTGACAGAGCGACACCCTGTCTCAAACAACAAAAACAACAACAAACAAGCAAATGAAACATGAAATAAATGCCACTCAAAAAGGGGAAATGGTGTTGTTTATTCTCTTCCCACAGGACAAATAAGCAAGAAAAGGTTTTAAAAGTGATATCTGCACAAGAATCTTGCCCAATTTTGTTTAAGGAAAACCATCAGAGTCTATTAGGACAATCTGTCCCCTTGAAAATAAAAATCTTGACCAGGACTGCAGATAAAGTTAGATAGACCGATATAGATGGAAATAGAGATGAGAGAGTAGAAGTATGACCTCTTCCAAAAATCTCAGACCTTTTTTTATGATTAAAATAGGCTAAAACTTAAATCAGGTTTAGGTAATCTGGTAGACGATTGAATTTTCACTAAGATCACTATTGAAATTTTACTTTAAAAGAAAATATGGACCGGGCGCGGGGGCTCACGCCTGTAATCCCAGCACTTTGGGAGGCCGAGGCGGGTGGATCACGAGGTCAGGAGATGGAGACCATCCTAGCTAACACGGTGAAACCCCGTCTCTACTAAAAATACAAAAAATTATCTGGCCGTGGTGGCAGGCGCTGTAGTCCCAGCTACTTGGGAGGCTGAGGCAGGAGAATGGCGTGAACCCGGGAGGGGGAGCTTGCTGTGAGCCGAGATCGTGCCACTGCACTACAGCCTGGGCGACAGAGCGAGACTCTGTC